CCCTATAACTGATACCACTGATATGAGAAAGGATAATCAGCAGAAAGGCAACAAAATTTGCAAAAATATGTTGACAAATAGGCCAACAACACTCTGAGTCATCCTAGAGATCACGAAATAACAATTCTTCTATAAACACTATTACACATATAGTTCATTTCTTATGACAACTCCAGTGATAAAAAGAAGATAGTATTCTTATTTATACAGGCTATTAATGAAGAACTTCATGCACATGTTAAACAGTATGGCTTAAAAGAATAATCCAGGTTGATGAAAAGTCTCTGTCCTTATCCTTTTTATTCTTCAGTCTTTGCACCTTCTGCATAATAGAGAAAATATTAACAATATCGATTTGTGGCAGGGCATCTTTAAGCATCTTTAAGCAACTTTAAGCAACTAGATAGCCTAATGTTAACCATGAAAAATACCTAAAATACTAGCCTAAGTATATTTGAGTCTGAAAACCACACCATCTTCATCTTCCTAACCTGAATCTTGCATAAGTATTCCAATTTTAAACAAACAAACAAAAAATTAAATCCTTTGTTACTACAGTTCTACCTAGACTGAATTGGCATTCCTTCTTTACCCTTTGTGTGGCAGACCCTCTCATTCTAGAATTACAATTCAATGTAATAAGGATTCAATTAGTAATAAGGACTCTCAAGACCTAGATCTCCCAGATTTGGAGATCAATGACCTTGTCCTGAAACTTATAGCTAGAGTGGAAAGACTCCCTTCGGAGTAGGCAGTAAAAATGTGCCTAAACTCCACTGTCTCTTCCACCAGCGAAGAGATCAGAGATAACTGCTACCTGTTAATATTTTACTTAGAAGTCCATATAAAGTTCTAAAGAAAACAATTTTTCACTCCCAATGTTCTTTCAGTATTCCCTAACCCTATACAAAACCAGGTACCTTCTTGGAAAGGCAGGTGTCATTCTTTCTTTGGAAAACTCTGGAGAAAGCTCTACCTGTGAAAGATTTCCCAACTCTCAGTTGTTTCTTTCTTAAATTAGTGGTCCAAAGAGCAAGTGGAACTGAGGCAGAAATAGAGAAAGATTAGTTAGAAGTAGATTAATTTCCTGTTTCCCTGTCTTTATGAGAACTCCAGAAGTTGTCAATATATAGAAGAAAAAGACAAATCCTGAAAAAAAGTCTGGAGAATCAGCTAAATTATACAACAAACTAATATCCACACCACATAATTAATTTCAAAAAATCATCCAGAGCAGAAAAGAATAGGTGTTCCCTTCAGGAAAGAAACTTCTCTTCTCCTTAGGAATCCTTTTCTTTGAAGAGAAAATATTTTGGGCACAGATGTGAAGGTAGCTTAAGCAATCAAACAGATGTACTTTCCAGTGGTTCCCTCCAGCCCACCCTATTCTATGAATCTATGATTTGCTTGTCCCCTACTCCTATCGTTTGCTACTGAAATATTCCAAAACTCTAAAAAGCACAAGAAAGAGAAAGAAGTGTCATGGAAGCAGTTGAAGAATATATGTCAAGGATACTGCCAAAGAGGCATTTATAAGGAGAGCAATGGTGAGAGAAAACAGGGTACAGTATATCTTCTTTACAGCAACTGCTAAACCTTTTGTAGCTATTTACAGAAATCACGTATTAAAAGAAGTGTAGAACAGGCCACTTGGGAATGAACTCTTTGCCACCAAACTTTTCCTCACTGAAGGCACCTACGTTTCTAAGGAGTCCTGGAATGACATGATAAGCCTTCAGAATTTTGAGAAATTGGAGTAGAAAAAAAACAAACATTTTTTCTCAGCAGGGAAACTGTTGCTCTTCATCAGCAAATCTGCCATCACTGTTGACACTTCTGTTGAAATATATGAATGCAGAAAACATTTTAGAAGTTTCATTTCTATAGTAATCACAATAGATGGCAAGGTACAATGGCTGGAAGAAGATGTAAACAAAACTTAGCTTCTTTATGATTGTCAGAAATCATTTCTTGCTTTCCTGAGGCAACATTAATTGAATTTATTGACATGTATCTATTGATTCAATTAATATAATTGATTCAATTAATATATCTACTCTATTACAACTAGATGGTTATTTGCAAAACAGAATTGCAAACGAAATGACAAATAATTTTTCGCCTCAAAAAGTCCTTCTCTCTTGCTGGAATAAAATACTTCCCTTCTATTCTCTTTAAAAGAAATGTGATAGCATTAATGGTAGGGATCTGCCACGCTATTTTGGCATGCTCTTCTGTTTCATCATTAGCAGGAAACCAGCTTTATTAGAAAAGCTATTTCGGTCCATATACAGGAACAGTGGGGAAAGGGGAGTAAGGAGTCTCAAACACCTTCTCTTAGAAGAAGTGTACTATTTTCACAATCCTCTTGCTTAATTCCAGCAAGGATTTTAAATCACTGGGATACAGAATGGAGGCTGACACAACTGCTTCATATCGAGAATGTCAGGACCCTAGGTAATAAAAGATTTCACATTCCTTTAAGCCTTCATTCTATTACTCCCAAATACAACATACTTTAAATAGAAAATATCTTGTAACTTCATACAAGATGCCTTAAGTATTCACAGAACCAGATGCAATCTAATCCTAGCAATCATCTAGTACCTGTAAGCATGTTCTACTGAGAAAGAATGCCAAAACACTCTTACTGAAATGAGCCCTCTGTGGTTCTGGAGCCTTTTATATACAACTACTATGAAGACCAAACTCAACAGACTGTATAGAAGGCTAGGTTTGTGGTACCATTCAACTGCCCTGTCAGATGAAGAATGACATCTCTGAACTCAGACAAGGACATAGATCAAGGTCTGCCTGACTCTTGTGGTATCATACACAAATACTGGACCAATGTGTTCACTGGTGTAAGTCTCAGCAATGAGTTAGAAAGTATGAGAGCAGCTGAGATTATCTACAGCCTTTCCATCATACAATATTATGAACTGCTTGGGCTGATATAGATGAGGGATTTTTGTCCTCTGCTAAAGGGAAAGCATTTTGTATTATTCTTGAGCATATTGCAGCTCTGCAGGTGTGTCTGGTACTCTAAGCCATAAAAGCACCTAAATAGTGTCAGGCAGCATTGGCATAAACCATCTCTCACTCAAGCACACAGAAAGCATGCACAATCCATAGGAGAGGTAAAAACGGACTATTCAAAAACACAGATCTTGCATGCAACACAGAATGATGAAGGAATATTATATTACTCTTCTGTTTTGGAGAAAACTACTCAGAACAATATTGGAAAACAAATTTTTGTATTATCCTAAGGTCAGTAATCTGAGATCTAATTTAAGTGATGCATGAGATTCATGATTGCGGAAAGCACCAGCCCAAACTCAAAAACTTGCAGAGCTCTCAAACTTATAACGAGAAACATATAATTTTGAACACACAGACAGCATGTCTGATAGGTTAACTGTTCAATTATAGCTCCAAGTTTTAAAATTATGACTCAGAAGGAAGGTCATTCTATCCAATGAATAAAAATATCAACTGACCCCTTTTCTATTGGAGACACTTGGAAAGTGGACTGAAGCAGGACTGAAAACAGCAGGATGCACATCCACAAAAGGAACTACTCATTTCAACTGCAACACTAAAGTACTTCCCACCACACCTTTACTAAATAAAACTCAAACTACAGTCATTTATGTAGTATGATAATCCACACAGTCTTTATCTAAGAAGTTTTTGGATCACTGGTTTTAGAAAATTATTTTGCACTGAAGCATTCTCCTTGGTACTCTCCTTTCTTTCACCTACATAGTCCATTGCTAGGCTTATTTTCTCATTCTCCGTCCCTCCATACTCATGAAGCTTTTTCTTTGCTAACAAAAGTCTTCAGTCTTTCAGATTCTGTCTTTTGTTTTAAATTCTGCTTACAGTTTAATATAAAAAAAGAGTGCTATGATAGCTCTGCTATGTATCATTTGCTGTAACAGCCTCAAAAGGAACTGTGGGGAAAGGGGAGTAAGGAGTCTCAAACACCTTCTCAACGGACAACATTATTTAGTGCTATCATCAAGTTAGTAAATTAAAGGTCTTTCATTTTATAAAATTAAGAATATAATCTTTAATATGAAAGATACTTAAGAATATCCAAGGAAATAGTTTTTTCCTAAACAGACATGCTAGAAAGAAGATATCTACTGACAAATATTTATCTGTAAGAGTGAACAAGTGTTTATAAGGATGTGTTCCTGAAAATAAAGTGGGTTTCATTCTTTGTTGTTGAGATTGACAGATCTGACAATGTTATTAGCACAAAATGGCTGTTCATCCAACTACTAAAGCAGCAACTGATACACCTACTGAGTAAAGTGCTCAGTAGGAGGGACTATTCCTCCCTCTGCAAGAATTCAAGTTGGAATCAAAAGAAAAACAATTTACTTAATTGTGAATTAAAGAATGCATATAATAATGTAGGTTCAGTAAAAATAGACTGCATGCACATAAATTTCATTAATTTCTTATACCTGTTCAGTCATCTAAAAAAAAAAAAAGAAAAGAAAAAAATAAACCAAAAACTCAAAGTCACAAAAAATTTTGCCTCTATTGCCAATGAGTTTAAGCCTGTTTTTGGTGTATGATCACTATTTCCCCAATACCAGAACTGAAAAGGGCTCTACTCATCTGTTGAGCTAAGAGAAAAACGTATAGCACTTTAAAACAGGACTGAACTGCAAAAGTAAGCACACTGAATTTACACTTGAGTATTCTACATGCAATGATTAGAAGATTTAGTTTTGAAATGTTGATGATCAAACAAAACAGAAGTTATTTATTTTTTTACAAGTTAGTCTTCTGAGTGCAAAAATTTCCTAAGAGAAGAAATGCAAATTTTTCTAATAATCTAAACGTATTTTTGTATTAAAGAATATATAGTGTTACCTTCAAATTCCATCAGTTTTGAACATTTTGATACTTGCATAACTGAGCATTTAGGAAGAGAGTTGTGTGGAAGATGCATATTACCATCGCTGACCAATACTGACCTTTCTCCTCTCAGCTGAAATGAAAATTTTCCTGATGTCCCTTCCATGAAGTCTTCGCTCTCCGATACGCTGATATGATCATTACAAATTAATTGTCTACTTTTATCATTAACTGGTGTGTACAACCTTTGCTCTGCTAAGTAGTTATTATTACTTCTGCCAGGATTATTCATCATCATAGCTGGTTCCTCAGAATCTAGCTTCTCTTTTTCTGAAATAGTCAAAAAGAATACATTTTGAGAAGGGTCCTTACACAATACACACACACAAAACAGAGCTCAAAATTAATTACTGTTTGTCGTGCTACATTATCAAAATTTGCTTGTACCAATTTAAAAGGAAAGAAAGCTTAAGACTTTTAAGAGTAAAGTAATCAGTGTCTTCTTATGAGCAGTATTTCTTTAAGTCTTTCAGTTTTGGGTTTTAACATCTCAATATTTCATCTTTTTTTATTTCCTTTTTACAGATAAGTGGATTTTACCTTGTGAAAAGAAGTGATTGCTTTTCAGGATCTGACTATTATGAAGGAACTCAAGAAGAAGATAGCTGTTAATCTCGTACCTTGGTATGTACACATGATAAGAATCTCCACAAAAAACCTCACATTTGCATGATCCCCAAAGGGGAGAAGAGACCAACTCAGGCTATAACTACATTAAGTTCTCAACTTCTTCAACTACTAATATCAATTTATTAAGGCTAATGGATTAAACTACATATAGGGGGACATTATATAAAGATATATTTATAGAGTAAGTACATAATAATAAAGTTTACTACTTTTTGTATAAGACTTATTTTGCAATAAGGTAAAAAATGAGATATTCAGTTTATCATGTAAAGTAACAATCCCAGACAATGTAAGAATTGTCATTATTACAGATGAGTTCATTAAAGACAGAGTCCCAGCATATTTCATTATGAGCTAACATGCAGGAAGTCAAGATGCCTTTCTCATCTGCAAGAAAATTACTTCTAAATCCCACATTTAGCAACCTTTATTAAGTCTCCACTAAAGAAACTCTTAATAGCAAATACGATGTAGTTGGAGGCCTGTCAAGACATATCATTCCTTTTTATTCCTCCTTTTATGCTCAATAATCCATCAGGGAATCTCCTTAGATGAATGGTATCTCATTATCTCTTTAAACGTGTCACCATTTAATGTTAATTTTACCCATTGAAGAAAACTTTCAGTAAAATTCCACTACTTGTAAACCTATAGGAAAAAGAGGCACCTGAGTAGCTTTCAACTCACTTTCAGAGGCAAAGGCCAGCATCATTTTTGGAAACCACAGTTTCAAAACTGCCTTAAAGTCATTTTAATACTTTCAAAATTTACACTGAAAGGACCTTTAATACAATAATTCATGTAATTAACAATATTAAAACCCATCATGCAGTTATTTTTCTAGCAAATAATAATACGTATCAAAACACTCTTACTCTGATCTGGAAGAACCACTTTAGCAGAAAATATACTTCCCAGAGAAGCTGTTCTACATAAGCATGCCCGAGCAGTGCTGACTTTTCTAACCTCTGCAGCCTCAGCAGGAGGTTTTGGAAGGAAAACAGAAGAATCTTCATCTTTTGCAGAAGTGATTAATATTGGTTTCTGTGACAAAGATAAAGAAGACTTTTAAATAAAAGCACAGATAATTTCATTTTTATACAAGCAAAAATTAAAAAAAAATAGAAACCCACATGATTTATAATAAAGGGCTAAGTTCAGAATAGAACAGAAATTACATAGGCTTGCTCATTAAGAAATTTTCATATCCAGAATCTAATGATATCATTCCACCAAACAACCAGATGTCTATACCATTATCACCATAGAAAGCCATTAAAAGCCAGCACTCAGGGTGCAGAGAACAAAAACCAGCTGGAGTAGAAAAGCTCAGAATTATTTATTCCTCTTAAATGCTCATTTAATTACATCTGCAACATGCTTATTTATCAAAGAAAATGCGCCAAAGACTTGTGCTAGCAAATCTAGAGCTCCATCTATTCTTTGATTTGTATTTGAGCACTAAAATAGTATTTCCAAAACACTTTGAATGTGTTCATATGTACTACTTCCTATCACACTGAGACAAATCATGCAGATCCAGAACGGAAGTCCAAGTTTTATTTATGCCAGTGTCTTGCATCTTAGAGGATGTGACCAACCCCCTGAACCTCTCATACAAAACACCTGATGTGCCCTTTCCCTACATAAAAGCACTGACCTGTAATATCAAGATTGTCTACTAATTTCCTCATAATAAAGAATCCACTAGAAAGTCTCCAGCCAATCCTTCTGAGCTCTCCACAGTATTAGCTGAAGATAGCCAAGAGATGAGACCCACTCCCCATAGCCACTATGACTAAGTCCTTCATTTACAGTGTAGTGTCTTATATTTACTGGTAAAGCAAAAAAGGCAGTTTTTGCATTGGTCAATAGTTTTCTCTAATTTTTTTCCATTCTCACACATGAAATAAATGCAAATTTAACACCAGTACTTGAATACAACTGTAGATGTATTTAATCTAAATAAAAGTATGGTCAGAATTTTTTAACTTGATTCATATAAATACATTACCTTATCAAAATTATTTGGATTTCTTGGATTTTTTCCCTTAATTTCCAAAAGAATGCTATATTTACATTACTGCCTTGAAGAAGTGTATTTTACTGATTTAGCATCTCTGTTCTCTGTACTAAACAAATGATCGTGATTTAATCTTGTATTTAAAGATCAAATAAAAAAACCCCCAAACTTAAAAGAGCAGATACTTTATAAATTAAAAACAATTTGCAATTTTCCCAGAAAGTGAAAAGGGGTTCTCCAAGTACCTCTGTTTGTTTAGAAATAAACTACAATCATTACATTTTATGGAAGTGTAAGTAAAGCTGAAATACAACCACATATTTACTTTCAAATTACTGATCACAGAGAATAGATGAGATTGGAAGGGACCTCTGGACGTCCAATCCCTGTGGCTCAAGTAGGGCCACCTAAACTCAGGACCATGTCCAAGAAGCTTTTGAAGATCCTCTGGGTAACCTGTGCCGGGGCTTCGACAACCTCACAGCCAGAAAAGTTGCAGTTTGTACCAACTGCCTCTGGTCATGTCATGGAAGAGTCTGACCCCATCCTCCTTCCACCTGCCCTTCAGGTATTTCTACACATGGATAAGATCCTCCCTAGTCTTCTCTAGGTTGAATGCTCCCATCTCTGTCCCTTTATCACCTTTGCAGCCCTCCATCAGACTCTCTCCACTAGCTCCATGTCTTCCTTGTACCAGGGAGCTCAGAGCTGGATACAGGACCCCAGGTGTGGCCTTACCAGTATTGAGTAGAGGAGAAGGATCATTTCCCTCAACTTGCTGGCAACACTCCTCCTAATGCAGCCCCAGATACCATCAGCCACCTTCTTAATGGCAAGGGCATGTTGTTGGCTCACATTGATGCTCATGAACATTTTCTATTTTAGTAAACTTACACAAGAAAGCTGACTCAAGTATCTGTCTTCTGATTCTTGCTAATGTCACTTAGAATTATAATGCAACACAGCAATATTTAAACAGTTTAAATTATTTTCAGGTTTCTTTGGGGGAAAAAATAACAAAGCTGACTTTATAAGTCTCAGACTAAAATTACAACAGGCCTCCATTTTCCCCCAACATCTTTAAATCATACCTTTTCCTAACATTACCGAGACACATATTTATGTCAGTACTGCATGAGTTACTTCCAGAGTACTCACATGATCCAGTGGACTAAGACGAACACCAGACACTGGTCTTGATTCAGTCAAATCAAAACTGGATGCATGAAGACTAACAAAGAAATGGAACATAATATGAATAAAGCAGACCCAGTGTTTTGCGATCAGTTAGTTATTTTAATTTTATGTTTCATCCCTTTGCCAATGAATACAGGGAAAAGAAGGAAGAAAGGCAGAGTGAGAAACTACTTCACACTACTCCTCTTCTTCCATGAATACTATTCATCTTTGATATCTGGGAATCCAGCACAATAAGGAAGAATTACAAGATCACCTGCACACCTGCCATGATACAGTTTATTTTATACATCTATAACAATTCTCTAATGTAAGCCTAAATTCATGCACAAACCCAACTGCCCAAGCTATTTCACACAAGCTGCTGAACATTTCAGGGCAGGAAATCCAGGCTTGTGCAGGCATGACATGCTCCTTCCCACACAAAGAAGCAGCACAGAGAGAATAAGCATGGATGTCAACCAGAGGGACCTCATTACCTGATTACCAGGCTCTTGCCTTCTGTAAGGGAACAACTATGCACTAAGGAGTATTGTATCAATTGAGCTCCTGAAGTCATGCTGCCATGAAAACTGCATGGACACTGACTGGTTATATAGTCAAACACGTTTCAGTATTCTTTCTGGCATGCCTGACACCTAACATTACAAACACAGTTCATATCTCCTCCCTGCAGTCACTATAGAACGGGTACATAAGGAGAGCTAAAAGATGATTGAGAAAATGGTTGAAAACAGCTCACTGTATAATTTTTCTTCTCTTGTCATAATAGATAGATCTATTGAGGTCTGTGAACTTTAGTATGTAATAAAATTCCACACAGAAATAATTCTGAAGTAGCATAAATTTTGGTTGAAAACGAGCATTTCAAACTTCAAGACCTATGATTTTACATTTCAAAGGTCTGAGAATGCTCTAAAAAAGATCTAGCATACAGGTTATGTGGAAACAAGCAAGCTTTCACATGTTCTTGGAAAAAAGATGAAGATTATCTCAATTAAAAGCATTCAATTTAGAATTTCAGGAAAAGGTAAATAACAAACCATTTTCTCATACTATTCTCCACATAGAAAACTAGTGTAATGACTGCCTCTGGCAGCTCTAATCCACAGGAACTTCCTGGACATATAGATTAACACCAACAGTAAGGATCATTAGAAGAAGGCAAAGGATGTGATTAGGAATACAGATTAACACAGGGAAAATAATCACCGGAAACATAATTACAGAATCAAATCTCTTGCTGCTAACGGATATTTGAAAAAATCTTAAAGCCACAGTACCTAAAAACTGAAGGGGGTCTATTTTGAGGACCTCGCAAGGATCCAGATCCAAAAAGTTTCCTTTGACCATCTGTAGGTGTAAATGGTCTTCGAGTTCCTACTGTTCGTAGAACATTTCTGGCTTCATTTATAATCTCAGAACAGGTCTTCTGCTTTGCCACTGAAAGCCAGTAGAATGGTTCTGCCTTTTCTGTATTTTCACTCTTTGAGGCTTGCATTCCTCTGCAAAGTACTGCATAGGAAGAACACTGGATAATATATGTGAAAGGCACAAAGTATTATGCTAGTTTTAAGCCACAAACTATTAATTCATCACTAGTTATGCTACTGCAATGTGGTTAAAAAGGACGTAATAACTAAATCCTAGACAGTGCCGAACTAGTGCAAAATAAGGCTCATTGATACTGCATTTCCCCCTCTGTTCCCCAGTTTTATAGGAAAATACTGAAGAGTAGAAAGCATCTGACATGGAGGACCCCTATTTTTTTACAGGGAGCTAAAATACACCACCATGCTTCATGGGCCAAACGTGATCCTTCCCAATACCATAGAAAATCTGTTTCTTGACACTTGATTACTTAGGAAACAGGACAGCCAAAACAAGAATTCAATAATATGGTGTAAAGAGACAGGATTTTTCCAACTTAGGAAAAACCCAACATATATTGTCAACCTTACCAAGGGCAGCTTCCTAATATGTCAAAGAGGCATTACTATCAGTAACTGAAGCACAGTTATCAACAATTGATAAGCAGAGACAAAGAAGAACAAGCAATCCATTTTCTTCCTCTGAAAGAAATTAATCCTCAATCCACCCCCAAGCACACGAAAAGAAAGATAACACTAATGTAACATAAGCTGCCAACCCAAACTTCCAATCATTGTTCTGTCCTGCTGCATCTTCTGGCAAATGCAGTGGTCAGCGAAAGACTTGGTCCAACATTTCTCAAGCCCCACAAACCCAATCGCTTATCATGGTGCAGTTCTCTGTAGATATCATCCTTGTCATTTTACAGCAAACTCATCCTGAGTCTTAAACCATCCAAAATTCCTCTTCTGCTTTTCAAACTTACCTAAAAAGAAAAACATGTTTCTGCACTGTGACTCAGACCATCTGGTAACTTCTATTCTCTCACATAGTTAATGACAATGAACAGACAGTAGATCAGACACCATCATCTTGGTTATTTCTAAACCACGGAGTAAAAAAAAAAAATCTTATTTCTTTAATTTCTCAGATCAGTTCTTCCTGGTTTGCATTTTTACTTTTCCAACCGCTTTTTCTTCCTTTGACAGCCTCTACATTCTAGCACAGTGTCTTTTACTGATACACACCCAACATAAAATTGGATGTTACGGAGAAGTGCACCAACCTCTTTCACTAAATGATGTGTAATTAAAAAAACACAGGAACAGATCAGAAACCTGAGACTGTTTTTTTAAGATTTCTGATTACCATTAATATATTATTTATCTTCACTGTGACTGAATTCGGTTCTCTATGCTCCCTACTCTCCCCTCTATTACAATGTCATTCAAAAAAAGTAAGGAATTCCACTGCAGCAGCCTGTTTGAAGCAGTTATCCAGTCAGTTTAGTAAGAATATGCAAATAATAGCTATTACTAGACATGATTTTAAGCACCAGCAATTTAAACACCAGCAACTTACCAATCACAACTGATACACTTTCAGCTTGGTGAAATTTTGAAGCAGAGAAATCACTATCGAAAAGAAACGAGAACAAAGTTAATCAGAATGAAGTCTGCAACCCTTAACAGAGCGAAGTTTCCAGGACAGCTGTGAGACAACACGCCCAAGAGGAACTCCCCAAATAAGCAGCACCTGTGAAGTAAAAGCGGACCCAGCCCAAACCCGGCAAACAAGCCTCTCCTGGGAACGGGGCACTGCCAGCTGCCGGAAAACGGCACAGGGGTTCTCCCTCTCCGTCCGCTTTTCCAAAGCCTCCCGCCCAACTTTCACATATGTTGGAAGGGACCCACAAGGATCATGGAGTCCAACTCTTAACTGCTACTAGCACCATGTCTAACCAACCGAGCTAATCTCAGGGCTAACTCGCCGCACAGTCCGGCCGTCCGCCACAGCCCGGCGAGGCGGCATCCCGGGGTACAGCCACAGCCACAGCCACCGCGGGGCCCCGGTCCGCTCACCCTCCCGCCCGCCGTTCCCATAGCAACAGTACACACCATGGCGCCGCCGGGACGGGGCCGAGGCCGCAGCGGGGCCGACCGGGAGCAGGCCGGGCTGGGGCAGGGCCGGGGCTGGGCAGGGGCGCGGGGCCGGGCGGACCCCTCACCACCCTGTGCCTGCCGAAGCCGGTGCCCCCCGCGCTCCCTCCGCCGCCCCGGGGAGACGCGGCACCCGAGGCGCACGCGCGAGCACCTGCGGGCGCCTGCGCGGCGCAGCCGCTGCCTGAGCAGGGTGGAGTCCGCGCATCCCGGAGATGTCCCCGGATTCCAACGGCGGGGTCTGGGAGGGATCCTGCTGCAGCGTTGGCCCCGTAGGACGGTGGTTTTGTGGTGGAGGGCGCTTCTTCCCGGCCAGTCCTGCCTCACGTTTAGCGACAGCGTCTGGAAAAAGCCCAGGATTCAGTTGGCAGAAGTTACTCGGTGTGACCTGTTGCCAGTTTAGGACTCTCTAAACACAGACACGGGGCCCAGTTTAGAAAGCAGACACGGTTTATTCTGCACAGAGTGCAAGGTGGAACTTTTCCCTAAATCAAGCACTCCAATTCTCGAAAATGTACAGAATTGTAGAATCGTGGCTAGGCTTTGTGAACAAAGATTTGGGAAGGGCTCTACCTACATTTGTTACAAGCACGCTGGCAGCTGGCGGCTAAAAAGGCCAATACAAGATAGACACGTCCGATTGCAAAAGGCACAGCAGAAGGACTCCTTAGGTGGAATATTCTGCAAGACACGACTCTTCTGCGTTGTCTTTTCTCCTCAAGAGTGATCCTGCGTGCGTTCTCAAAGGAAGCAGCAGCATTAAAGATAGTGTGTCTCCAGATCACCCAGTTGGAGGCCAGAGTAGACCAGTTATGGTGATCAATATGGCCAAGGCTGAGATACAAGGACTCAGGGAGTTACAACTTTCTCACTTAAATCCTTTCTCTTACGTGCTTTTTATTGAATGAACTCTTTCAGCACCTATTTTAATTAAAGGTACATAATTAAATCTTGTTTGCAATAACAGTGCTTTAGGATGGAAGCATCATCAAAACATATAAACTGACTTGGTCTAGGCAAGTTAGTATTTGCTCGAGAGATTGCTGAGGTAAAAGGAATGTCCTCTGAGCATGTCTGCCTAACTAAGGAAAAAATACAAAGTATCCAATTATGTCATATTCATTCAAATTACTTCTCTTTTTAATTTTTTTTTTAAATTTGAGAAACATGAAAGGGATTTTGTGCTGGTATCCAGTCTCAATTTCCAGTTCTGCTAACTTAAATCTGTCTAGAGATGAAACTTACCTGAATATCCAAGCAAACAAGGCCTATATTTCAATGGAATTCAGAACTAGTTAACAGTGTTAAGCACTTTGCCTGCTGAGTGTTCATTGATTACACTTGCTGCTTCCAGTTGCCGACCTGTAAAAGCAGGGGAGCCCTGCCGACACTAAGTTGAACATGAGCCAGCAATGTGCTCTTGCTGAAGAGGTGGCCAACAGCCTCTTGGGCTGTATCAGGAAAAGCGTTGCCAGCGTGTAGAAAGTGGTCTTTTTCTTCTGTGCAGCACTGATGAGGCCACAACTGCAGTGCCAGCTCCGGTCATGGGCTCCCCAGTACAACAAGGACATACTGGAGTAAGTCTAGTGAAGGGCCACTAAAATAACTAAGGGACTGGAGCATCTTTCATTTGAGGAAAGGCTGAGAGAGCTGGGCCTGTTCAGCCTGGAGAAGAGAAGGCTCTGGGTGGGATCTTATCAGTGTGTATAAATATCTGAAGGAAGGGTGCAAAGAAGATGGAGACAGACTTCTTGGTGGTGTCCAGTGAAAACACAAGAGGAAGAAGCCACAAACTGAAATACAGGAAGCTCCATTTAAACATAAAAATAAATTTCTATGATGAGGGTGGTCAAACACTAGAACAGGTTCCTCTTAGAGGTTGTATAGTTTCCATCTTTGGAGGTATTAAATATCTGATTGGAAAAGTCCATGAGTGGCCTGCTCTAGTTGGCTGCTTTGAGCAAAGGGCTTGGCCTAGATGATCTCCAGAGGTTACTTCAAACCTTATTTATTCCAAAGTAGATGTAATATTTTTTTAATTCCTTGAAATCTTATTCAGATTTGACTGAAATTTTAGATTTTGGAAATTGCTGTGATCAATCTCTAGCTTCCAGTGTGGTCTGGCCACTGCATCCTGCAAACTCTGCACCTTACCCTCTCTTGGACCAGCACTTGATTCCTTCCATGCTCACTGTTCAGTCCCTTCAGTGAAAAGCTGAGATTTCCCAGTGAAGTTATGCTAGCATCCCAAGTTAAATACCCCTCTGTTGGTATGTTTGTGCTGACATATGGCATGCAAAGACCTCTTGTACCAACTAACTAAGCATCATGAGCAATCTACCAGCTGTACACCCACTATGCAATTGTCCCTACATCAATGAGTGCATTCATTGATTTCCTGATATTTCTGCTGCCTCTGCCAGTGACTGGAAATCCCTGGCTTATTAGCAAAATGCCTGCTTTTCTTCTAGTCTGCCTTTTTATGCAACTAGACAGGCAGGGCTCCACATGACTTTGGTGCTGCTTCTCAGTTTAAGACTCAGATTTCTACAGCTAGAGCTGGAGCGGATATTGGGGAAAGAGCCTTTTTTAAAGAACAAATAGATTTGGAAGAAAAATATGAAGATTATGGAGGCTGCAATCCAGTGTAAAGCCTAAAAGCCAAGATAAGAACTAGTGCTGGGTGAAGAAGAAGAAAGGCCTTTTTTATTTTTTCTTACAAGATTCAATCTTCAGTTTAGTGGTTCCAAGAGTTTCTTTTATGAGAATTTTGTTGTGCAGAACTTACGATGGCTCTGCATTCATTATGGAGCATACTGAGGTCGGACATGGCACTTACCATTCACAGAAGCCTGTGGTGAAGAATACCAAGAACTGGCTAAATTTGAAGAGATTTTTGGGGACAGAGATGTGGATAAAGTCAAAACGGTTAAGATATAGAACCGTTTAGAGAGCTTGCTGAACACACCTAGATAATAGAGGAAGAAGATTCACTGAATAGAGCTGGTGCATTAACGTGGTGATCTTTTTTACTTTCTTAAAGCACCTACATCAGCATTCCTTGTCTTTCCTCCTAACAGATTCTCCTGTCAAATTGAATCTATCAGCTGCTGATGGAAAGGAATATTAAGAGTACCAAAATATTAGTATTTGGCAAAAGTTCAAAAAGTCATTGGATCATAAAATGGTTTGGGTTGGGAGGGACCTTAAAGATCATCTAGTTCAATCCTCCTGTCATGGACCGGTATACCTTCCACTAGACCAGCTTACTCAAAGCTCCATCCAACCTGGCCTTGAACACTTTCAGCGGTGGGACATCCACAACTTCTCTGGGCAACCAGTTCCAGTATCTCACCACCCTCACAGTAAAGAATTTCTTCCTAATTTCTAACCTAAACCTGTCCTCTTTCAGTTTGAAGCCTTTTCCCCTTGTCCTATCACTACAGGTACTTGTAAGAAGTCCCTCTACAGCATTCTTGTCGGCCCCCTTAGGTACTGGAAGGTGCTCCAAGGTCTCCCTGGAGCCTTCTCTTCTCCAGGCTGAACAACCCCAAGTCTCTCAGTGTGTCTTCATGTGTAGAGGGTGCCTGCAGACCACAGGTGCTCCATGTCCATAACATGTCAAACTCGTTGTTCAGAACTCACCTTACGCATGTGGTTATACACAAGTCCAGCATATGGTCTCTAAGCTCTGTGTGTCTCCCATTCATCTGTATATTCTACATGTATGATAGCTATCTAAGGAATGCAGTTTTCTCTAATATCTGGAAATGTCATGGAATAAAACCCAAGCACTGCCACTGACTCAGTGTTGAATTCAGGAAACAGGATAGACCTCCATTCAAATGGAGTGACCCTATAAGACTCTGCAAGTTTTTTGCAGGAGACTGTTAAATTTAAGTTTTGTGGGTTGGTGGATATGTCTGGGTTTTTTTTCCAGTTACAGCATTTTTGTTTTTACAAACATCTTTCCAACCAGAACTGCCTTGTCTCTATTGCCAGAGCTGGCCTTCTAACTCTATTAATGACAACAGAATAGATGGGAAGGAAAGCATGGGCTTTCTCACAAACAACATTGATATAAAATACTGTCTAGAGAGACCACCACAGAGAAGCACTGCTTTCATTTGGGTATTCAAAATAAGATGGGACTGAATTGGACATAAACCTTATTTACTGTTCCACCACAATCAGCAAAGCCCATTGTATCTCTTATTTCCAGTACATTACCCAGCATAAAAAGATTGTGCAGCAGGAAATACTTGATTTTGTGTAGCTTACTGGAGTCTGAGCACCTCAAATAATGCCAAAACGCCCAGGTTGGCACAGCTTTCCAGAAAGGTGGCACCACCTATTTCCCCACTGTCTCCTCTTTAAGCAGCTCTTTAACTCGGGGTGAATGTGCTGTGAGGATAACACAAACTTGACATCCAACCCTGAAGTTTTCTTGTATCCAGTGTTTATAGTATGTCTCGAAACTACAATTTGTTCTTGTACTTTAGCAAATACTTAGCGCAAATAGTTAGCTACCATTCATCATTTCTATGTCCCACTTATCCACAGTGCTCAATATTTTAGGCTCCTCTTTGGATATGAAAGAATCCTTTCATCTGCCCTAAATGAACAAGAGAGCTCTGCTGTTTGATACAGTCTGGATTTCTGGCAGTGAGAAAGCTGCAATATGGAGAAACAACGCATATAAAAATAGGTTATTGCACAAAATAGAAGAATTTTTTTTAAATCTGACCCAATATTTACACTGATTGTGTGATGGGACATTGTACCTCACGGTATACAATGGCAGTTCCACAATGTGCTGCAAAGAATTACCAGAAGGCAGTCTACCAAACGCAACACGAGGTATTCTGGG